AGAATATAGAAGAATAAAAATATATAGCACATCTTTTAAATGTGCTAATCAAATCTTAATTTCTCAGGCTAAAATTTTAAAAGCACATCCTTTAACTGTACTAAATTTAAAAACACATCTTTTAAATTTGTCACCCCAAAGATTTTAAAAGCACATCTTTTAATTTTAAATAGCACATCTTTTAATGGGCTAATCAAATCTTAATTTCTTAGGCGAAGATCTTTGACGACAAAAATGAGCCATTAACATATACTACACTCCCTGTTTCTGCCCTTGTCTCCCTTAGTTTAGCAGACAAAAGCATCTAGTTCACAAATACCACTTTCCAATTGAAAATAATCCTAGAACTTCCTAAATTACTCTGAGAAAAAACCAAGATTATTACAAAGGCCTATAAAGCTGTATATAATCTAAACTCCTATTCTAGTTATTTATTGCCTTGTAACAAACTACCCCAAAACTTAGTAATTAAAAAATACTCATTGATCTTGATTATGGATCAGCAATCTGGACAGGATGGCTCATCTCTGCTCAACCTGGAGGTATCTGAGAAGTTGCCAATGCTGAGACCTGGCCTAGCATCTGATGCTAACTACTGACCCAGACCTCTGCAAGGAGCTATGTCCACAATGCCCACGTGTCTTTCCACAGGGCTGCATGGTTTCCTCACAGTGTGGTGGCTCCTTTCCAAGGATGGGCATCTCCAAGAGTCAGAGCAGGCAGGGAGCTCTATTACCTTTATAAATCCAACCTGGCCTCAGATGTCTTGCAAAATCAGTTCTGCCACATTCTATTAGATAAGAATCCGTCACTGAGGCCCATGTTCTAAAGTAGCCCATATTTAAGAAACTACTTTACATAGGAAAAATATACAAAATTATATATGAACACATTTTGAAGCCATCACAACACCCGTTATCTATGTGTTCATCTCTTACAAGGCTGTTAGCACTCAGGTTTCTCCGCTATTCCTTGGAATGTCATGAACACTCCCATTTCAGAGCCTCTGAGGCTGTTTCTGTCTGCCTGGAAGCTCCCCACCCCACAGCCTTCTGCTCATTCCATCACACCTTCCAAGTCCTCACTCAAGTGTCACTTTCCCCGCAAGGCTTTTCTGGCCAGTCAACACACCCTAGTCTCTTTCTCTGACTTATTTTTCTACTACCATCTTACATACTCTAAGTACTGCTTATTTATTGTCTTCCTGCTATCAGAATATAAACTCGGTGGAGATTTTTACTTGTTTTACTCACTACAGTACCCTCAGTATCAACAGCTTATCAAGAACTCAGTGGTAGCTCAAAAGCATTTGCTAGGTGAATAAAGAATTATTTCAAAACAATAAAAGTACAATGTTCCTAACAGTCTTATACTGCTTAAATGGTTATTTTATAACTACTCTAATAAAGTAGAAAATAAAAATGAAAACCTGAGTCATACTTTAAGAATTTATCTACAAAACAATGAACTTCAACTACAAATAAATTAACCAAATACATCAAGTATCAAAATTTCACTTTTGAAGAAGCAATAATAATTCTTTTTTTTTTATAGTAGCAATAATAATTCTTAACAACTATGGAAAGTGTACCTTCAGAGCACAAAATATGCAGGCTTCTCCCTGACAAACATGTCCAGTCAGAACCCGCAGGCTTCGTCGGAATACATCCAATTGCCATAGAACCTAAATTAAAGGGAAAAAGACAGTGAGACTGCTCTCCTGTGATAAGACATTTAGATATTTTAAAAACTGCAAAAGGCTAATAAGCACTTTTTTCATTCTCCTACCCAGATATACACAATCATTAGAAACAATAGCAAGTATAAAACTACTACATACATGAGGTGCACACATAAAAGACGGGTTCAGAAGATATTGACTCACATGAAAAACCTTTACAGGCATACAGCAAGGAAAAACAAACACCTCAGTTAAGGATCTGACATGAAGAGGAAATATGGGATATGAAATAAAGGACTTGGAAGAGACAAAAAAGAGGAAGTGATGAGAATACTTGGACACACTGAAATCTAGGGAGGAAATACAACTCAACTTTAAAGGCAGGGTGTACTAAATAGAGGTCAGCATATTCTGCAAGAAAAAAGGGTGTGTGTGGTCCCTAGATACTGAATGAGCGAGTGGGTATCTGTGCAGTATTGGGGTTTAGCATGGAAAGCAGCAGTTAAGAAATAATCTGAAAATATGTGTTGCAATTAGTCTTTAATCACCTGCTACTAAACCACAAGGATAAAGAAAAACAAAACCAAACACCTTATAACTGTTAAAAATCAGTGAATCCAATACCTGAAAATCATTCTGGAAAATGTGAACTCATGTGATAATAATAGTCCTGCTCAATATAATTCTTATATGGATTAAATAATACATAATGATATGTAAAGTGTTTAGAGCAGGGCCCAGCAAATAATTGGCATACAGTGAATACCTATCGCTATTACAACAAACAAGTGACATCTTCAAGTTTCCCTGTATTTGTTAGTCATTTTCTCAAATATATAACTTAAGAATTTCATTTAGGAGCTCTCATTTCCCCCAATTAAAAATGAGATTTTAGTAAAAACTTAGTAGAAAATAACTTGATTTTCACATTTTTTATATATCCAACTTCTCAATAACCAAGGGGCATTTCAGAATTTCTCTTTAAAAATTGCTTTTTTATTCAAGATAATAGCATCTATTGATTTACCATAAATAACCCTCAATTTAGGAAAGTTCTAGGATTATTTTCAATTGGAAAGTGGTATTTGTTTGAACTAGATGCTTTTGTCTGCTGAACTAAGGGAGACAGGGCATTCAGTAATGTTTAGAAATTGTGTTGTACAACATCTCTTATCATAAAAAACACCACCCTGCAATCCATTTCTCCAGCAAAGACGACAATGAACGACAGCAAGACCTCACAGTACTGAGGCCAATGATGCCACTCCGGGCTGCCCGATCTAGTTTGGGTTACTCTTCACTCACCTGGACAACACAGGCAAAGCACTGCTGAGACTACGTTCTCAATAAAGTGAAGATAAATGTCTTACCTACCGCTTAGAGCTGTTCTACAGTTCAACTAAGTATGATGTGTAATGTTCACATAGGTGTCCAATGCACATAACTTTGTTCTAGCCCTGAGAATTCAATGCTATATTAATACGTCAAACCTACTTACTTGTACTGCTTTCCAGATACAAGTTCAAAATATTCAGCTAGCAGGCCACCTTTTATAATCTGTTTATAAAATTAGACAAGTCTTTCAAATGTAACTAACCTGCCTATCATATTGCTTTGGAATTTTGTTTTTTTCTTTAAAATAATTTAAAAAACCAAATATAACTGTAACATTTTCTGAGAGTAGTAAAATTCTGAAGTTACACTGGAACAAACTACAGAAAAATATTCAAAGGGGGCCATGTGTAGATCCATGGTGTTATCTCTGCGCAGTAATTCTAGGAGCATCTTCTGGCCTGTGGTTAAGATGTCTGTATAAACTGATTTGCAAAGCCAATCCTCAGTGATGGAACAATTCAAACAGACTGTATGTTAGAAAAGCTTGATTTCATATTTTAAAATTCAGAATACAAATGTTAATGTGCAATTTGGTGACTTTTAAATACTTCTCTGTACATTACTTATCACAATAATGTAAAACTTATTTTAGCGAATCTCCATTGCAAAATAATTAATTTTAATTATGGTTAATCCTCATCCTATTTCATTTTAAAGTGTTGATTACATTCTACCATCTATTTAAAACAATAAAGTCTATGCTAGCTTTTGGGTGAGTTTCTATGTACTGGTTAATTAGTTTATGCATACTGCAAATCAATACATTTGTACACAAACATTTAATAAAGATACAAATCTCTCACCACATTCCTTACTTCAAGATACTATAACTTAAAAATAATCAAAAAGCATATAAATTCTTTTTTTGATTTATGTTAAATCCCTATTATTTTCATAAGGTTTGCTTTTACTAATTTCATAGAGAATGTATTCCACAAAATATTTCTTAGCAGTTACTTAAAAAAAATTCACCAAGGGCCAGGGATATATAGCTCAGTGGCACAAATGTCTGCCGGGCAAGTATAAGGTCCTGAGTTCAATTCCTGGTACCAAAAAAAAATTATCAAATTGCATATTAACATTTGCATTCTGAATTTTAAAATATGAAATCAAGCTTTTCTGACATAAAGTCTATTTGAGTTGTTCTGTCGCTGAGGACTGGCTTTGCAAATCAGTTTATATGGACATCTTAAGCAGAGGGCAGAAGATGCTCCTAGAGTTACTCTGCGGCAGTACTGCACAGAGATAACACCATGCATCTGCACACAGTCCCCTCTGAATATTCCAGCAAGCTGTATGAGAGAACTATTGAAGAGCAGGGAAAGAAATATTGAAAAGGGTTACAGGAAATAATGCCCAGAGCTCACACTGGCCTATTTCTAGCAGCCAAAGTGGAAAACTTTAAAATTCAGAACAGTGGTTAAAGAGTCTTAAGATAAATTAACCACAGAATAAATACAACTTGTCCTGCCTAGTGAATTTTAAGAATAAAATGATCAAACTGTTTCCAAATAAATTAACCTTGTTTTAAAACAAAGTTCAAGTTTGTTTTTAGGAATATAAAACTCCCTCTAAGGCAACAAGGTAAAATTGCCATCTAATTAAAAACATTACCATGCATTAAAGAAAAAAGGAAACATTGCAACGTTATTTCATACAATTAAGAGGCTAGAAGTAAGACTGAGTAGAGGGCATGAATATTAGGAAGTCTCACAGCAAAACTCTAGAGGTGAAAAATACAACATCTAAGATGAAGAATACGATGAATGGGACTGCACATTGCAAATAAAAAGATTAATGAATTGGAGACAGAAGTAGAAGCTACAGAATATGCAACTGAACAAAAGACAGAAAGAAAAAGAAGAGAGCATTAGCGAGCTATAAGACAATATCAAACAGCCAACTATATACGAAACTGGAGTCATCCAAAGATGTGGAGAGACAAGTTACTTGCAGAAGTAAGAGTTAAGGAGTTTTCCAATTTAATTAAAATTCTAAGCTTATAGAACCAATATCCTCAACAAACCCAAACAAAAGAGACATAAAAAAAAACTATGCCAAGACACATCACAATTACATTACGTTAAAACCTATTTTACTTCAGAGGTAATCTTAAAAGCAGACACAGAAAAACAAGACAGTATACACAGAAGGACAAAGATCATGATAGATTTTTATCAGAAATAATGCAAGCTAGAGAGGAGAGGTAAAATCTTTAAAGTACAGAAAGAAAAATGTCAATTTAGCCCCTCTGAATGTGAAAATACCTTTCAAAGGCAAAAACGAAACACAGATTTTTTTCAGACATACAAAAGATGAAAGAATTCATCATCAATAGACCAGTAGAAAGATACGAAAAGCAGAAAAAAAGGATGCAAGATGGAAATGTAGATCTATAAACAACAGTGATTAGCACATACAGAACTATACAGAAAAGTACAGTCTTCATAGTAAAGCTCGATGCAATGTTTATTTAAATTTTAAAAAACACCATCCTAGTAATTTTCTACTTTCTTCACTATGAAAAAAGTTCCCTTACTCAGAATTTTCTCTTGTAATATGCTTTTTGTCTCCCTGCATTATGGACAGTATTTCCAAAGCTAAAGAGATAGAAACAGAGGGAAAAACGTAAAAGTGAAAAAGAGTAATAAAAGATCTGATATGATAGAAGCCCTTTCTTATAGCCTGATTCAATCAAAGGTATTTAATTCCAAGTCTTATGGTACTTTATATTTTCTTACATATAGTGACATTAAATATATTCTTTTTTCATAACACAATACCAGTGCAATCCCTGAGGCACTGATTGCTATATAAATATCCAAAGTAAATTAGAATCAATGCTTTTCCTTATACCTGGTGGCTCAGTTCACTAACTTAATTTGTTCTACAATTTTGGAAAAGAGGTCATGTTTGTGTCTGTGCAGGATACATGGCCATGGCTGTGTTCATCATCCAACGCAGAGTTTGCAACGAAAACAAAATTTTGCCAAATGCTTCTGTTTATGAGCCAAACAGAAAGTGTTCATGAACCAAGGTATCACTGTACCCATTACTTCTCTTTCCCTGGGTGAGTTCAAGAACTTTCAGGTATGACCTCTGGCCCAAGAAGAGAGCAACCGAGATGTCTGAGCACTTGATGTACTCCAGATGTGTTCATTTCTCAAATACATTGAGCAATATTTCTCTGTCTCCTCTCAGTTTTTAGGAGTAGAAAAATTCTACAATTGCCAGAGAAACACCATATTACACAGAAGAAAAGCTATTCAACTAAAGCAGAAAAATAGGTTAAAACATATTAACTAAAAGAATTTTAGCAAAAGAGCAAATGGATTAACCTTCAATCTAATCAAAAGAAGGTACTCCAATGATAATTACAGGGGTGACTTACGGGGCACAGTGACAGGTGAAAGGAGTGTGAGCACTGCAATTAAAAATAATTATTATTCTGGATTCTTATTTCAAACTAAGGGGTTTGCTTCATGTTGTTCTATCTACTAAGCATTACACCAGAGTTTTGATTTATGTAACTGTTTTTGCTTTTCCAAAGGAGAAGGGATTGTTACCGAGTAAAAGGTTTCCATACTTTAGAAACATTCTTAATTTACCAAATATTTAAGTAAAAATGTTCTCATATCACATCTCATACATCATCCTGTCAGTGAAAACACCATTTCCATTTCTTACAAAAACTAGAATGCCCAGCCAAGATGCTTTCGTTCCCATTAAAGGTGATATTAAAAATTATTCCGGTTAATAACTTTGTTCATAGTTTAGTAATTAAAGAAGCATTAAATAAGGTACTTCCTGAAAAATGATTTTTAAATAATGTAGTAAGTAATTATGGTCTCACCTGTACAGCACTATTAAGAAAGCAGCTGTTTTGTCCCGGTTCATTTAACAATCCTTTGGTAGGGGCTAACGATAGCATACTTCCAGGTTGGTAAGCTTTTCCAAGGTTGCCACCAGGTTTCCGTAAGAATTTCACCCAGGCCATGTTCAAACAACTTTGTCTGCATTAACGCTAAGAACTGTACACTTATGTTATACTTCTGATGATAACACGGATGATGTCTTGAATTCGCCACTTAAATTCACAATAGTCTGTTATAAGAATGTGAGTTTCCAAGTCCATATCTTTTCTAATGCTATAAATTTGTGAGAACTTCAACAAATAAAAGTGGGATAAATAAACGTTGAAGGTCTGTGAGCTTCAAAGCTTAAATAAGGCCTTAAAGATTTTTATGAATTAAATTTTACAGGAGAGTTGTACACATTAAGATGAAGAAGACTTTTTTAAACAGCAGAAAACAGCATCAATGAACAAATCTTTCATGGACAAGTCAGTTGTCTTGCTGGATGAGAGAACACAAATGGATGATAGAAAAAGGTGCAGACTTGGAATCTGGCATGATTCCTTTGTCACTTCTTTTCTTTATGCTTTTTTAATAAAAAAGAATGCTGTTTCTTTCCCAGGTGAAGTTATCCATATGTCATATCAATGTGACCTCAAAGTAAATCTGTAAGAAAAGAAAAGAAATGTTTAAAAATAAAGCTAGTTAGGAAAATCTCTATTTTACAATTTGAACACCAATATTGCCTATAGAACTAAAACATCATTAAAAACGGATTCGAACTGGTAATATTCTAAGATATCAAAATGAAAACATTTCATCACTTAACTTCTTTTGGATGTTAACATGACATTAATCACTTTCTACCCAAATTTTAGTGTTCAAAGGGTTCATAAGGAAAATATTCTACAAAAAAAGAAACCTAGAATTAAATTAGGTCTCAGGTTGTATCTTGTACCTGTCAACCTAAATTGCTTTATTAAACAGATAGCATATATGTACATATAGTACAGACTATATTATCTACCTTACATACATAATCATATTTTTCCAAGAAAGTTGGTAGATTTTATGTAAATTAACATACATAACTCCAAAGAAACCTTTGATAAACAGATCTTAGTGAATTAAAGTAAATCCCCATGTTTTCAAAAATGTATGCTTCTGACTTAATGGATTTCATATGTTAAATTTCTGAATTAAAAATAATCAAATATTACTATCAAAGTTTTATTTTATCAACTGAATCTTGTTCCTGCATTCTTTCATTCAACAAATACTTACTGAGCGTTCGTTTACCTACCAGGCACTGGAATTGACATAATGGGGAAAATCAGACAATGCCATCTACCCTGATACTGTACTATACTGTAGAGTGAACTAGGAGGGCTACATGCTAAGTGCTAACAGAAAAACAATGTAAGGAAGCAGGGTGGGAAATAAACACATTGTCTGATCTTCTTCACTTTTCAGTAGGACACAGTCAGGGAAGGCCTCACCGAGAAGGCTGCATTTGCACCAAGATTTGAAGGAGGTAAAGAAACCAAGTGAGGGAACGAACTCCAGGTAGACTGAACAGTATCTTCAAATATACTGAAACTGGTGCACACTTGGCATCCTGGAGGAACAGTAAGAAGCCCAGTGTGGCAAGGGAAACTCAGTAAGGAGCGCGGTAGGTGAAATGGAAGCACAAGAAAGAGACAGATTACACAGGGTTTTGCAAAGCCTTTGGCTTTAAACTCTGGCTTGAAAAGTTACTGAGTACCATTTTCACAGCACAGAAAGACAAGAGAATAGCACGGGGCAGTTCAATATCACTGGTCATATACAAGATAGCAAACCACTACACAACAAAGAAGAAAAGGACGAGTATCTAAAAAAATTAAAGCCTTTTTTTAGGCCTACTCTCTGATGAGAACTTCTTTACCTTGAAAATGAGGGTAACAACTGTTAATGAAGGTTAAGTATTCTGAGAATTATAAAACACTGGTAGTTATTTTCTTCTGCTTTAATCACCAGTTCACACCCACCTCTCAATCTTTCTCCCATCCTTCCCCAGAGGGACCTCAGGCCTTTTGCCCAAATGACTGTATACTGGAGAAAGAGGAATGATCAGACATTTTGGGAACTACTGGACACTGGTTCTGAACCAACACTGATTCCAGGGGATCCAAAACGTCATTGTGGCCCTCCAGTAAGACTAAGGGCCTATGGAGGTCAGGTGATCAGTGGAGTTTTAGCAAAGATCTGACTCACAGTAGTCCAGTACATCCTCAAATGCATCCCATAGTCATTTCCCCTCTTCCAAAATGCATAATTGGGATAGATGTACTCAGTACTTGGCAGAATCCTCACATTGGTTCCTTAACCTGTGGTGTGAGGACTATTATGGTCGGAAAGGCCAAATGGAAGCCATTAGAGTTGCCCCTGCCTGGTAAAATAGTAAACCAAAAGCAGTATCGCACATTGCTGGAGGGATCCCAGAGACTAGTGCCACCATAAAGGACTTGAAGGATGCAAGGGTGGTTGTCCTCACATTTCCTTTTAATTCTCCCATTTAGCCTGGGAGAAGACAGATGGGTCTTGGAGCTCAATAGTAGATTACCATAAAATGAATCAAGTCACCAGTGACTCCCATTGCAGCTGTGGTACCAGATGTGGTCTCCTTGCTTAGACAAACACATTTCCTGGTACTTAGTGTACAACTACTGATTTGGCAAATGCCTTCTTCTCCATACCTATCCAGAAATAATGTGCTTTCAGCTGGCAAGGCCAGCAAAATACCTTCACTGTCTCAGCTCAGGGCTATATTAACTTGCTAACCCTGTGTCACAACTTAGTTCAAGGAATCTTGATCACTTTTCTCTCCCACATATCACACTGGTCCATTACATTGATGATGTTACACTGATTTGGGGCAAGTGAGCAAGAGGCAGCAACCACTCTGGATTTGTTATTAAGCACCTGTGAGCCAGAAGACGGGAAACAAATCCAACAAAAACTGAAAGGTCCTTTACCTCAGTGAAATTTCTGAGTCCAGTGGTGTAGGGTGTGTAGACATATTCCTTCTATGATAAAAGATAAATTGTTGCATCTTCTTCCCCTACAACCAAAAAAGAGGTACAATGCCTAGTGGGCCTATTTGGATTTTGGATGCAACACATTCCTCACTTAGGTGTCTTATTCCAGCCCATTTACTAAGTGACTTGGAAAGCTGCTAGTTTTGAGTGGGCCCCAGAATAAGAAAAAGCTCTGCAACAGGTCCAGGCTGTTGTGCAGGCTGCTTGCCCACTGCAGCCATATGCTCCAGCAGATCCAACGGTACTTGAAGTATCAGTGGCAAGCAGAGATGTTGTGTGCAGTCTCTGGCAGGCCCCCATAGGTGAATTGCAGCATAGGTCTTTAGGAGTCTGAGCAAGGCTCTGCTATCATCTGCGGGCAACTACTCTCCCTCTGAAAAACACCGCTTGGACTGCTACTGGGTCTTAGTGTAAACGGAATGACTGACCATGGAACACCAGGTCACCATGCAACCTGAGCTGCCTATCATAACCTGGGTATTATCTGATCCACCAAGTCATAAGGTTGGACATGCACAGCAAGAGTCTATCATTAAATGGAAATGGTGTATTTGTCATTGAGCCAGGGAAGATCCAGAGGGTACAAGGAAATTACATGAGGAAGCTGCCCAGATACCTATGGCTCCTATGCCTGCTATACTCTCTTTTGTTTCTCAGCACGCACATATCGCTTTGTGGGGTGTACCATATGATCACCTGGGCCTGGTTTATGGATGGTTCTACATGTTATGCAGGCACCACCCACAAGTGGACAGCTACAGCTTTGTAACTCCTTTCCAGGACACCCTTGAAGGACAGTAGTGAGGGCAATCATCACAGAGGGCAGAACTGTGGGTAGGGAACTTGGTAGTACATTTTGCCAGGAAGGAGAAATGGCCAAACGTGCGACTGTACAGTGATTCATGGGCTACAGCAAATCATCTGGCCAGATGGTCAGGAACTTAGAAAGAACATAACTGGAAAACTGGTGACAAATATATTTGGGAAGAAGTATGTGGACAGACATTCCCATATGGGCAAAGGATATAAAAATATCTGCTTCCCATGTAAATGCTCACCAAATGGCAACCTCAGCAGAATAGGACTTTAATAATCAAGTGGATAAGACAAGAGGAATACAGAATGGGTATTCTAAATACCAGCTACTACCCCATTATCAGCTACAGAAAAGAGGACTGTAATTGTATTTTTTCTCTCCTAATGTGTTTTTAATGTAATATAAGTTGACACACCTAATACTGGTTCTTACGGACTGTTAAACCTTTGTTATAATGTTCAAGTTATGAAATAAGAGTAAGCATCACCCAAAGAAAACTTACCTTCTATTCTGGGAAGGGAATTAGTGCATTTCTGTTGTACATAGGATACATGTAATACATTAGGCATAATTATGAGCATGTCTTTGTATCTGCAGACTGGTTTAAAGAAATGTGTCTGCCTGTCAAGTTGATAAGGGGTGGATTGTAATGGTTGATTACGTCAACTTGAGAAGTCTGAAGCTTAACTAAATTAGCTCAGCAATTCTACACCCTATGCGGACCCATCCTGGGCCAGCTCTTCACCCTATGGCAGCTCATTGCCCAGATGATATAAAGAGGAAATGAGGAAGGACAGACTGACTTCTATGCTTTGGAGGAGCTCCAGTTTTCACCTTCAGCTTGGATATCATCTCCTGTGTTCTAGCACAGACTCTGGATTCCACCTCAGATCCTTCAGCCTTCCAGCATAGACTCTTCAACCTTCTATCACAGATCCATCAGCCTCCTGATGGGACACTGCAATGAACTCTAGACCTTGGACTGAAAGCTTCAGTCTCCAGTGTGTAGACACCCTGTGCACAATTCCTCCTCCAATTCTACGGGTGACCATCATAAACCAATCTTGCAATTTCTTACACATCTGTGTATCTTGTGTTATATTTGTTTCTCTAGTAAAACACTGGCTGATACACTTGCCAACTGAAGATGTGTAGATTTTTTAAAAAAATAATAGTATTAATATTAAAGAAGAAATCCAAAGGTCAAGTTAACTAGCAAATAACAAGAGAGGATGAAGACAGTATCAGCAAGTAATAAATTCAAGTCAAGAAATCATGTAAAGCACTAAAAAAGAAAGACACAGAAAACATAAACACGTTTTAGGAGCAAAGAGGCATGGATAAAACTTAAAACTGTCAATCAAGATACTTACAAAGACAAGAAACAAAGTAAACTGAGTAAATATAAAGAATTAAAAATTAGACTGAGGATACTGCTCAGTGGCTGAGAGCTTTACACAAGGTCCTGAGCTCGATCCCCGGTACCAGCAAAAAAAAAAAAAAAAAAAAGTTACTTCCCAGAATTAGGTGGAAAAAGTCAAAGCAAACAAATAATTTAAAATCTAAACAATGTGGGGAAGAACAGAAGGTCAAAAATTGTCAAATGTTAAACAAGAAGGTAAATCCAAAACTAAGTTTTTGTTTTTTTTTTTACAAAAAACAGTACAATGGATATAATTTTCACAAGCCTGATGAAAGAAAATAGAGGAAAATAAACACTAATTAAATTGGTAAAGGATAAATGATCACAGATAAAACAGCAGCCAAAA